AGTCATCAAGCGCATTAGAAACAATTAATTATTTAATCGCAGTATGAAATAAAAATCAAATCGGCACCGATTAATTAGTATCGTTCCTAATCTTCTTCATTGTGATTGTCGGTCACATGAAAATCTTGTTATATAAAAGTTATATAAAAGTAATCTTATCGCATACCATTGCGTAAATGTTTCGAATAAAAAATTATGTATTTAAATTATGTATTTAGATTCGCAAATGAGATCGGGCAAGAAGATGTATATATACAAAACTCAAACTCACGCGCAAAGGATTAATAGATACGCGTCGTCGTTTATTGATGCAATTTGCCTTCGTTTTCGGAATTCTGTTTGAATTGTGAATGTTTCTCATCAGCGATAAAGACTTGTTTATTGATGAATATTATCATTGCCGCCGACAAATTGGCCTTGGGGCCAAAGATCGGCAAGTTACGTCATCATCCGAAAAGGTTTCGACGGCCTTGCGCGTTCGGTCGAATGGATTTCGGATGAATCGTATTCTCTTTCCGCGCAACGCGAAAGAAAGCGCAACGTCGTGTCAGCTGCGCGTTTAATTAGGTCCTTAATCGATGGGAGCGACTTTCGCGACCTCGACCCGCCACTCTTCCGATGAGGGTGAGTCGAAATAATCGATCTGCCGTTTAAGTATCCGCCCATCCTCGAGCTGTTACCTCGCAATCTCGGCGAGAAATATATTCCCGTGTAAAATTGCGCTAACGTTATTATTGTCCCGCGTATTGTCGTGTCTATGCGCCGGCGATTGTGGCGTCGTTGAATTTTTATATCATTGTTTCGTGGTGAGCTTAAATATTTATTGCCTGTCGTGTAATGTCATGGCTACGAGAGATATACGTCCTGCCATCTCCCGCGAGTTACATTATTACATTACTGTGACGTCGGGATACACATTCGGCAGCTGACATTTACATGCGGCGGTTCATTCGCGGGAAATCCATTATCAGATTCATCATAATTTCAACTCGTTTTTTTTCGCATTTTAGCTCGATGCAGCAGTTTTTCACAAGCCCGAGGGACAACGATGGCACTCATCAAAATGTCGATGGATTTCTATTTTAATTACGTGTATAATTTCACAAATATGTTATTGTCACTATTGTGCATAGTATTTTAATCAAACCACAACATCAATCGCACTCTATAAAAAAAATATAACAAGAGAAAAAAGAAAAAAAGAGTGCACTGTGACATTCGTCTAAATTCATCGTCCTTATCAATTCACTCAATGTGATAATGTGATGCACAGCTATTCGAAAATTCGATTATTCGCTTAAGTTCTACCAACGATTGGAATAATTATCTCTATCTCTTATCCTGTTTTGCCGTGGCTCTCGAGGTCGCTATCCCCCAGCTGTCTCAACTGCGACTCTATCAAAATGTTAAAGCGAAGTCTTGGCCGTTATTATCGCCCCGATAACGTCTCAAAGTCATCGTTGGAGTGACTGCTCAGTAATTGTTCAGAATAATCGCGATATTGTAAAAAATCATTGAATAACGCTGATTTTAAAAATTATATTATTAATGATTGCAATAAAGAAAAAATATTATATAATTTTTTATTTGATATTTCTTTAAATTGTTTCTTGCCGATCGCATTTTTTTTACTGAAAATATATATGTATTTACGCAAGTACAATCTCGTATCATAAAGTGATTTATTGAATTTGTATTTGTTTGATAATTATTTTTATAATAATTCAAAATGAAATTTTATTAAGATTATGTTTATCAAAAGTTTGTGAAAATTTTATATCTAAAACGCTATAAAGAATGTCTGATTTTTTTCAAAATCTTAATTTTTATTAATATTTTTGACACACAATCTTGATGATATGAATCGATTAAAATGGAATACACTGTGTATTGAATGACATTTTACGTTAGTGTAATTTGCGTCATCGATACTAGCACGTACTTCAATCAACTGTATAATGCGCGCATCCTCTTCAGTTAACAGCAATAATCAACAAAATAGACTGTCAATTTCTATAATACTTCCTACATTCCAAAAATTATCGTTTATCATCCATGCAGTATCGTATTTGCAATATTTTACATTACTGTAATTTGCAGCTATCATGATAAATGGTAAAATAGATTAACTCTCACAAGTTCTACTTACAGGGGCAATCAATGAACGACCTATCTGTTTCTAATTTCACCCTTCTTTCATCTTCGTGAATTAATGATCGCGATAGATCGCGGACGTTTTATTTACCGCGGCGCGGTATCCCGAGTAACGTTTTGCACTGCCCTCGCCCTTTCATCCATTTCTCGAGCTGTCCCCGAAGTATCGTTTGTTAACATTATAACACGATCCGGTTGCGAACACGAGATACTCGGCGCTTGGCCAGATACGCAGCGGATACCAGACGGTAAAGCCAAAGTGCCGATTGTTTATTGCCGGTGACGTGTCTCGGAGAAAGGGGGGGGGGGTGGAGGGAAGCGCGGAATCGCGCGACGATAAATATTTCGGACGGCGAATTAATTCAATGTACGTTAAACCAATTAGACCGACTTTTGCGAGCGCGATCGAGAGATTTACCGAAGTCGACGATGAGAGATAAATTGATCGCGCGCGGCTCCGAGAAGACCTCAGGCATACGTACTCACGCACGCATACACACAGGTCGTAAATCACGTTGACCAGCCTTGATCTATAACTGTGCCCGAGAATGCCGCATGATTTCCTAACAATGTGCTTGATCCTTTTTAGATGCCACATTGTAACATTGTATATCCGTAACTATACATGTAGAGCTATCATATATTTGAAGGTAGTGCGCGCGCGCGCGCGCCATACACACACACACACACACACACACACACCACACTGTCTTACGTAAATAAAAATATATGCTACGACAAGTGAACCAAAAAAA